CACACATATATATATATATATATATATATATATATATATATATATATATATATATATTATTATTATTATTTATTTATTTTTAATTTAGGCTTAAATATTTTTTGAGTGAACAGAAACAAAGAGCATCTAAAAACAGTCATAAAATTTGAATAAATCAAGGAGCAAAGTTTAATGTGACTTTTTTAATGCAAAAATATAAACGACTGTTTCTAAACAACTTTCTGGTTGGGACCGCAACATGAAAGTTTTTTTGAAAATAGTTAGTAAAAATCAAGTTAACACTATTTTCCAGTGTCCTTGTCACACGCTACATGCACTATAGGGCTGTCAAAACGACTGAAAAACTAAATTCGAATTTTCCTCTTAAATATTATAAAAATTTGAATTATATTAGAATTTAAAAGGCATAATTTCAGTTAGGGGGAAAAAAAGCTTTTGGCTTCTCTCCTGAGGCCACAAGAGGGCGCATCGCGCAAAATATTATGCACGTTTCTTCAAAGCGTAATAAAATAACACGACTATCTTTGGAAAAAAAAGTGCATAATGTTTAAAATAATGTTTATAAACCATATATAATTAATAAAGTTGCTTAAACAATTGGAAGAAAAAAAACAGCACCATAGTTTAACACAAAGGACCGAAAACGTTTAAAATAGAGTCGGCTACTTTCTTCATTAAAAACATGAGATACAGCGGGATGGGGAAAAACCGCCATAAAGTCTTGAGACATGTTTTTTAAAAGTTGAACTTACATTAATTTTACATGGCTTTCTAAACATGCTGCTCTCTTGTGCGAGACGCGAGTGCAATGCTAATAGATGTCCCTCTAGAAAATGTGATAAATATGTGTTCTGTGTGACCGGCTTGGTTTCAGTTCCCCCGTAAACAACATCTTCGCCACACTGATGCTCTCGTTTTCCGCAATATATTGAATGAACAACGTAGCAGCGCCGCATCTAGTGGGTTCAACTGGATAGGCTAACAAAAGCATTCAAATGCAATGACACTTACATCGTCGTCGCATTTTGTATGCCACTGATAGGCTGCCTGACGGCTGACGCAGACCTAAAATTCGAATGCAACCATTTTGCTTATTCGAAATTCACATTTTTTTTTTTACAGCCCTAATGCACTAACTATAGTAACAGCAATAAATTATGCATAATCACATGCAACTAACCTTCATCATAACTCTATAGTAAGTACATGTAGTTAATTAATATTACTCAGTACTTAAATGTATAATTACCCTGGAACAAATATGCCATGAAATAAAGTGTTACCAGAGTAAAAATCGACCCTCAGATGGCTCACTCAAAGCCATCTCTGCACATTTAAGCCATAATATCAAAATAAAATAAATAACCGGTTGCACATCTTACCTGCAAAACCACATTAGCATAGTCATTGGCCTTGATATTATTCAGACCCACAATTCCTGGCAGATAGGTCGTGCCGTCGTAGGCTCTGTACAGCTTTCCATGCTTATCCAAGCCAGAGATATGCTGTTTGGTGAATGTGGGTTTCAGCACATACTGGAATAAAGAAATCAAGCAGAAGTGAATCAGAGACGTCAGTGTTTTATACATGACATAACTTGCTGAGACAAAAAGTAAAATGGCACTGCACTTCTCGCTGTAATGAGACAAATAGCAGTGATATACTGACTGACACTCGGCTGATTGATGGAAAGCCTCGTCAGACTGCACTCACCGTAATGTCCTCTAACGAGGAGTCAATGATCTCGTAATTGTCCGGCAGGCAGTAAAACTTTAACGTGTGGAGATTCAGGAAAACATGGTGTGCGAACTGAACGCTGTGGATGTACGCGTGAGACTTCTGACCTCGACCTGACAGAAGCCCAAATAAAACAAATGTATTTTTTGTGAACATAATTACAAACCATCATAATAACAAGGTTTCCTTATCACGCTTACCTTGGAAATATTTCCCACAGATCAGACAGGCGTAGACATTAATATGTGAAAGAGAGATTGAACAAAGCTTCTCGAAGTCAAAATCCAAAACACTCCTAAAGAAAAGAAAAGAGTGCATGTTGTAGCAGAAGAGCAGCGTTGGGTTACATTAATAAAGACGCTCTCAGTCATCCGTTTACCTGTTGATTGTGTCCAGATATGGACAATGCCGGCTTCTTCGATCTTCAACACCACGACCGACTTTCACACGCACCTCTGCAAAGAACACATGTGGAGAAAACATAACTAATGCATCTAATTACTAACTAGCTAAATGAGGATTGATATCGGTAGTAATCGTGAACGTTATGGATCAGTTAAATCATCAAAATTGACCAAATACTTTTGACGTGTTGAGATATGTAGGAGCTTGATGTGTGCTGCTGTGCTCATGTATTGGACACCTGGTTGATTTTAGATGGATCTGAACCTGGTGCGAATGCGGAGGCAGAGGACTGGAATGAGAGCAGCTCTGGCACAGAGCAGGAGAACACTGGCACAGAGCTGTTCTGGCTCGATTATCAAGCTGACAACGGCCAAATAACGTCTCTCATTGTTCACAAGGTTTGTTTTGGGGTGTGTTGAGATTCTAATGGAAGCCCGTTTTCACCTGTAATTAACTTTTTATCTCACAAAGAGTTTTTTTAGCAATTGCAAGTTTATATCTCATAATTTTGAGTTTTCTACTCATTTTATGTTGCGCGAAACAAATTCTGAATTGTGTGATGTAAACTCAGAATTATGATTTTATATCTTGCAATTCTGGCTTTTTTCTCTGAATTCTGAAGTTGTTACTTGCGATTCTGTTTTTTTTTCTGCCACAGAATAAAAACTAAAAGAAGGTAATTGTGATTTTTTTTTTTTTATCTCACAATTTGGATTTTTATTCTCACAGTTGTGAGTTTACGTCTCTCAATTCAGAATTTATATCTTGGAATTCTGAAATTTTTTTCTCAGAATTCTAAGTTTACATATCGCAATCCTGAGTTCATATCTCACAGTTCTTACTTTTCTTTGCAATCCTGCATTTATATCTCACAATTCCACGTTTCTATCTTGCAGTCCTGACGTTTTTTTCTGAGGTTTTCAGCAGGAAGCCGAGTTATGATATTCTGATTAAAAGTTGCAAAGTCAAAAATAAAAAGAATACTTAAAATATATATTTTGATGAATCATTTACAATAAGATTCATGAAATGCATTTACAAGATAGTGATTTTTAAAAGATGTAAAAGTGTTATGATAAGATTTATACTTGTTTAATATTTATCAATACAAATAAACTTATGTAAAAATATATAGCATATATAACATAAAGCATTATTTAGTCAATATCAGCAGCGTGATTGATTAAACTGTCACAAAAATGTAAACTGTATTATCGCACAGCTCTGTATATAAAGTTGGGTATGTATTATGTCCAGCTTTATTCACATACAGTACACTAGCATAAAGCAATATATATACTATATAGCAAATCTTTGTCACAAAATGTAATTAATGCCCAGCTCTTTATATAAAGTTGGCTATATAAGTTTGTCCAACTTTATCCACGTACATACAGTATACACATATGAGGCGGTATATACTTCCTTGTATCATCACAGAATGTAAATTATATTTTTACCCAGCTCTAATCAACTATAAGGCATGCAGATATTATAAATATTAACATTGTGATTTTCATGATTGAAAACAGTGTGTATTGTGAGAAGCACTTGACTTAAAGTCTTTGATATTGTTAGTTGTCATCCTGATGTACGTGTTAAGACACCAACAATTAAATATTTTTTTCCAACCAGGAGGACAAGCCAGAAGTCATTGTGCAACGCGTGGCGGAAAAGAACGCTCTGGACTCGGCCATGAGGGCGGCGCTGTTGGCACGTGTGGGACAGGAAATGGACAAGCGCTGTGACAAATGCTGAGAGAAAAAGAGAGGCGCTTAAATAAAAGTGGAGAACAAGGCACTGAGACACCACTGAGCCAGAATTGAATCGGAACTGCATTTCTGTACGACGGCACCAAGCATGCCGCATTCATAGATGTCTTGGAGAAGCCATGCATCCTAATTATGTGAAGGTGTAGCCTTCTTGAAAGAGAGTGGACTCGAAACTCAAGAGAAATGACACTGTCAAGCATGAAACTGATCTGGTTTGATCTAAAATAGGATGTATTACAGAAAACTGGACCCGTATTGTTCTTTCAACTGGAAACTGAAATCCTTGTCACTCCTCACGTCACACTTTGGAAAGACGCTGGACAAATGTTGAGAGCTCTAAGGCTTTTTACACCTGAGGTGACTCTCGTTTGGGATGGGAAATGTATAACCGCAAGGTCTGCATTGCTTCACTAGGTCCCATAAGTCTGTGTCTTGTAGACTTCCAGAAAAGAGTGTTTTTATATACGGTTTAGGCTGAATCCCTACAGAAATCAGGACAAAAATGAAACCAAACTTCGAATGCTTCCAGTCTGTTTAGTCTAAGCGAAGGTTTGAAGGAGTGTAGTTGCTAGTGGAAATAGCTGAGGAAGTTCAAACAAAGTTTAAAGAATGCTAATAAGGTCCTCGTTGCTCTGATATTTATATCCATGCATTTGGATATCTGCCTTTTCCTTTTATGTTCATAAATATTCATGTTGATGTACTGATATAAATATCACATTTTCATCTGTTGGTGCTCATGTTGTTGTAGAAACAAAAAAGGACCAATGTGTCTCTTTTTTTCACCTCTTCATTGTACAGGTAGATTTTTATTTTTGTAATCGTGTTCCAACTGTGTACTCTTGTGTTCTTGTTTAGATTGCAGGATGAATTGTTAATTCTGCCATACAGACAGACGATGGCAGTGTGCACTATGTTGACATCGTGTGCAAAAATAGATTTTTCTTTCACTGAGGAAGGCTCTTTAAATTAAATTTGAAGGAAAAAAGGGGGGGAAATCATGTTTGGTTATGTTGCTACATTATGTTAAAGGGTTAGTTCACCCAGAAATGAAAATTAGCTTGTGTTTTACTCACCCTCGAAGCATCCTAGGTGTATATGACTTTCTTCTTTCAGACGAATCCAGTCGGAGTTATATTAAAAATTGTCCTGGCTCTTCCAAGCTCTATCATTGCAGTCAGCGGGTGTTGCAGTGCTTCAGTCCACAAGAAGTCAAATAAAGCTCGCGCATTCATAATAATACGTGCTTCACACGGCTCCGGGGGGGATGAATGAAGGCCTTCTGTAGCGAATCCATGCGTTTTTGTAAGAAAAATATCCATATTTCAAAAGTAATAAACACTTTTCTCTCACTTCCGGTATCTGGCGGAAGGCGTATGTGCAGCCCGCGCGCCTCTGAGAAATGCTAGTCTCGCGAGTTTGTTTAATAGGAGCAAAGGAAGCAAAGTTTCCTTACTTTAGCAAAGGAAAACCAGTCTCCTCTTGGTTTATATCGAAATCCTCCGAGATTTTTCTTTGCCAATCTTCGGTTTGTACTTCTAATTCGTGACCGGTGTTTTTTGTTCTCTCTCCGCATTCGTCACTAATCACGCAACGCCGCGCGTCTTACGTCATCCGCCGGAACTGCTTCAGTGAATGACAGTCAGCGGAAGTGATAGAAAAGTGTTTATTACGTTTGAAATATGGATATTTATCTTACAAAAACTCATGGATTCGCTACAGAAGGCCTTTATTCACCCCCCGGAGCCGTGTGAAGCATGTTTTATTATGAATGCGCGAGCTTTATTTGACTTCTTGTGGACTGAAGCACTGCAACACCCGCTGACTGCAATGATAGAGCTTGGAAGAGCCAGGACAATTTTTAATATAACTCCGACTGGATTCGTCTGAAAGAAGAAAGTCATATACACCTAGGATGCTTCAAGGGTGAGTAAAACACAAGCTAATTTTCATTTCTGGGTGAACTAACCCTTTAAACTGCTATGTTAAATACACCTCTCAATGAAAGGTCGAACAGCTGAAAATCAATATCAGAGCAAAAAACAAGCCCTGAGGTCTAAAGAAAGGCTTTGTAGAGCTCAGAGACAGGATTGTGTCAAGATACTGATCTGGGGAAGAGTTCAGAAAACAATTCTGCTGCATTGAAGTTTCACAGAAGCATGTAGCCTCCATCTTGTGAATATAGGAGTGTGTGTGGTTTCTAAACAAGAACAGAAACGCAATTGAAATCAAAAGAAGTCATACTAAGATTACACAGTCAAATATAAACAAAGAAACCAAACTTACATTACACACACACACACACACACACACGTCTGGTTCACGATCCTTGTAGGGACTCTCCATAGGCGTAATAGTTTTTATACTGTACAAACTGTATTTTCTATCGCCTTACACCTAAACCTACCCCTCACAGAAAACTTTGTGCATTTATACAATCTCAAAAAAACTCATTTTGTGATTTATAAGCTTCTGTACCCATGGGGACCTCAATTTAGGTCCTCACGGTGACACAGGTCCCCGTGAGTTGGTGTGTATTCAGGTTTAAGTCCCCACCAGTATAGAAAAACATGCACACACACACCTTATAAACATCAAGCAGCTCCAACGTCTCAGTCTATTGTGCATCAATGCAGGCGTTTATTAATCAGGATTCATTAGCATATGGCTGCAGTGATTGGCTAATAAACAAATGGCGTATACAGATCAATGAGCAGCTAATTAAGGAGGAACCAGGACTAAACAAGTGAAGCTGAGGCATATTAAGAAAAGTAAACGAAAAGAATTATAAACAAATTACAAAATAAACTTCAATACAGTGACAAAGACAATCTTTAAGGGTATGAATATGTATGCAACATTTCAGATTTTCCTTTTGAATGAATTTGCAAAGTTGACACAAATCTGTTTTTTTGTTTTGTCATTATGGTGTATGGAGTGTAGACTGATATGAAAAAAGTAATTTAAAGCAGTTTAACATAAAAATGTGAAAAAAAATAAAGGGTTATGAATACTTTCGCAAGGCAGAAAGATAGATAGATAGATATCTTCAGTTATAACTGTGATAAACACTACATTTATTACATTTAATATTAGAAATACTTTACCGGTCAAATGTTTGGACACACTCACCTTCTAACAACAATAGTAAAGGTATAAAAACTGAAATAACATACTCGACTCTTAATATTGCATGGTCATGAGAACAATAAATAGCAACTTAAAAATCTGTTGACCTACCTAAATAGAGTAATATAGAAAAGTATTCAAGTTCAGACAATATTACAATAACCATCTCAGTGAAACAAAAAGCCATTATCGTCACGTGTGTATTAAAGCTACACAATGAAATTTTTTGGTTAAAAAAATAGAAATGCATGCATCGTGCAGAAGAACGTTTGGCTCTGCTCCTCGGAAGAATGTGGTTCAGTGCACCGTTGTACACTTGGATGATACGGTGAATGGACACATAAGTAAAGGTTTCTTCGTTTTTACAACTGGGAATTCGCAAAGGTTTGCGTTTCAATGATCCATGGTCAGTTTTTTTGTTTGTTGTGACAACAAACTTCGCGTGTACGGATATGACGTACATGCACGGCAGGGGCGCCATTACAGGGGTGCAGAGTATGCCAGGCATATGGGTCCAGGAAGCTAGGGGCCCCAAGTCACGATTTTTGATTTTTTAAAAATCTTTAATGGACAACCTTGCCAATTTGAACATTCAAGCGATTTTAACGCATTCAAGCACAAGAAGACGCGAGTAACATCTCCATTCAGTGTGTTGTTACTCAGACAGGCACGTCTCTGACAGCACATAAGCCACGAATGGAGTTCATTTCTGCGTCTTCTTGCACTTGAACGGAGAAATACAAAGTATGTCAAAATACCCATCTTGGCAAGGATCCTTGAAAACAGTCGGTTATGTCTTAAGTGAGAAAGAAATCAGATGTGTATCAATATATTAGACCCATGAATTGTGTTTAAAGTGACCGCGCCTAGCTGCTGTCAGTGTCCCTAATGTTAATAAAAAAATAATAATTATTATTATTAATTAAAAACGAGAAAATCACTTACTGCTCTTAGCTTTAACAGTGAATAATATGTACTGTTATTTTACATTTGCTTATTCAATTTCTGTACTTGAACAACTAAATCTAAAAACCCAAAGCATCTTTATTTTGCATCTTTATTTATTTGTGCTATTGTTTGTGATTTCTTCATTTGTTCTTATTTACTGACTGTTCACTTGTCTTTAATAATGTTTGAGCTTTGTTAGACTAAGTTAGGCTTAGGCTTAGTTAGGCTTTGTTAGGCTTAGGTTAGGTATTGAAATTGGAATTGAGAACTGTAAAATTTAACTGGTTTCTAAAATTTTGGTGTCATATAAACTTATTAGAATACAAGATCATTTTCTATATTTAGTGCTGTCAAATTGATTAATCACGATTAATCGCATCCGAAATAAACGTTTTTGTTTGCATAATATATGCGTGTGTACTGTGTATATTTACTATGTATATATAATTACACAAACATGCATGTATATATAATTAAAAATATATATATATATATATATATATATTTTATATATATTTATAAACAAAACATTTTTCTTAAATATATACATGCATGTGTGTACACGCACATATATTATGTGAAAACATATATATATATATATACTGTATGTATAGTTTCTTTCAATTTCTTATTAAGCGTTAAAAGAAAAACACATTCATCTGGAAGAAGGGGGCCCAAATATCTGTCTTGCATACCTCCCTTAAAACTCTTCATGGCGCCTCTGACGCACGGGTAAATGGTGCATGACATGTATGCAATTTCCCGTGAAATCTGTCCCGACAGCTCTAAAATACAAATCATTATTATAGGTCTCTCAAAGGGTATTTGGGTTATGTATGTGTCCAAATACATTAGTTTTAGTGACTTTACCCATATACACGTTGATAGACCTATAATGATTTATATTTTAGAGCCGTTGGGACGGATTTCGCTGGAATTTTTTATTTTTTTTATTTTTCATGAATAACATTTGATTTGTTTTAACAAACAGAAGTTATATAATGTAAAGTTACAAGATGTCAGGTGGTATACAAGATACTTGATTAGCCTGTACCAACCTGCAGTGTGATCCCAGGTATGTATATATTGGCAGTCTGACAACAGTTTTGAATAAGGCTAATCTCATCCAATCAGATTTTAGAGCTAGAGGATCTATTTTATAAAGTACAGTTTACCACACCAAACTCTTCATCAGAATTTGCACTCAACACACAGATTACATAAGAGTATTCCACAGGAGGGGCCATTTCCACAGGCATTAGAGACCCTACAAGGGGGTCAGGCTTTGGCCCTCCCCTCCCCTCGATATAGTGAGTGTGCTCGCCCCTTGTGTGAAAGAAGACAAATGTTCACATTGCCATGCATCCATGCTCCGCCCACAGACCTCACCCGTCTCTCCACATCCTGATTGGATGATGATCAGAGACCAAAGACAGTGTGGAGTCTGACACACACCCCTGCACATGTCTCCTCGTTGTCATTTTGCAGGGTTTTAATTGTAAAAGTGATGTTTCCCACCGATTTAGCATATTTTATACGTTGTATTTTTGCAGTTGAATCATTGCATAAAAAGTCATTTTGATTTTAAAATCTAATTCTAAACAAAAATCAGAAAATGATTACAAATATTTTTAGGAAATATTATTTATAAATATATGCAGTAATAGTACTGAATGCATATGATATTTGCCACTTTCATTTACTAAAGACGTCTAGTTTTGATTTTTGTCATTTGGTGTCGTCTTTATGTGGTTTCATAGAGATCTTGAGTCTGGTGACACCATAGACACCATTTATTCAATATTATCTATTTGTTTATTCATTCATACTTTACAGTTTTTGACTTTGGTCTCCACAGATTTTCAGCATACTGAAAC